AGTTTTGTTGCTAAAATATTAAATACTACCATTCCATGTAGAATATTTAACTGATTCACTTTTTCTCTTATTTCAGATACGCCAATGTTACCCACAGACCCACATCCGCGCATGAAAGTTACAATGAAAATACTCCTTTGTTATTGTAAGCGAAGCAAAATTACAAACACTACGAACATTAATAAAATGTATTTATAAGTCAAAAGCGCCTCTTAATAGAAAATAGAATTTAGGATCATTATTTTTAAAAGTTACAAACACATTGCCATATCATATAAAGACCGGTTCTGGTCTTGTGCCGTCGCCACATTGTGTTCTAAAAAACAATCTTTAAAAACTCAATGTCATTTTGAATATATCACCGGTCATTTATTATCTTTCTACCTATTTTCTTAGTACTACTATTCAAATATTTATATAAAAAAGTCACAAACGTACACAATAGACAGTCGGCAAAGTTATATACTTATATATTATATTTTTATTTTACTTAAATAATTTAATATCTAAATAATCTTGTGTTTTTTTTTATTATTAAGTCCTATTCACACAAAGAAACATATAAACATGCATTTTTATCCAATTTAGTTAAGGCCTCATAGGATTACTAGCCAGTGACAAGTAATTGAAAAAAAAAAAATAGTTTCTGACGATGTTATTTAAAACTACACTAAACTACACAATAATACAGCTTAGTTTTTTTTACCATCGTAGCTTTGGTTTGATAATTTTTACTAATAATTTACACATACATAACACTCGCACAACTTTTCTGTATCAATATCCACTTCTCCTTCTTTAAAACATAATCTTTAACTCAGGAGCGGAAATCATTGTTGACAAGTTCTCACTCAAAATTAGCTCGGTTGATTAGGAAAGTTAAAACAGTTTTATTTTATAGGAAAAAATGGCAAACGAAGCGACTTGTGTCACATCGATTATTGAGACAACTGGCAAAACTTGTGTGGACAAGCTCTAAAGCTTAGTTTGTACGTGAATTGTCAAAAATTCACACCAGTCAGGAATTATAAAATCGTATAACAGTAAGAAATGAGGATATTTGAATTTAATAATATATACTTACCAAAAAGCTTGCATGCACCTTTTATACCTTAAAATAGGGAGAATGTTATATTTCGTAGTCTACTTAAGGTAAAACAAAATAAAAACCTATAAAATCAAATTAGCTATGGAATATGTGTCAACATCATCCGCCTGCATATGCGGGTTAGGAGCAGCAGTAGCGTCATCTAGGTACGTATATCAATATTATGTAATGCTAAATGCTGTAAAATAAATGATGTTGACATAATATTTTTATTCAATTATTATATAAATATATTAATGTACTCATTAGTGATAATGTCTATATATATAGTTAAAATATAATATGGATAGTTAAACCGATTACAAAGAAATTATTTTTTATGTTTTCCAATATTTAAGACTGATCACTTAGAATGTTCTCAATATGAATTTTCAATAAAATTGTTATTTGCATTATGTCTTTGCTTACTTGATAACCTCATATCAATATACTACATCTTATTGTAAACAATTGAAATAGACCTGTCTGTCCTAAAGTATGTAACTATAAATCAGGGAGAACTGTTATAATTTATTCTATTAACAGTCACTTTTTGTACATTTGTCAAAATTGCATACTTTAATAAACATAAAATAGTTTTTTATAAAAAAAGTTTACGGCTATTTATGTACCTATATACTCATAATCGTGCTTATTCGTAATTTATATAGTTACTTAATTGCTACATTTGCCACAAGTTTGCACCTTGCAATGATTTGAGCGATAGATAAAGAAAATGTACCTAACAAATAACCTTCATTTTGGTAATAACGTACTTACTATGTAATAGGGCTCCTTTGCAGATGTGCACCTACTGTTGTATTCCGGTTAAGAGTTAGATAGATATAGATACGAGTGTTGGCATTTCGAGCGAGGTATGTGATATCGGGATAGAGAGTCCATGCCAACAGAAGACGGATATGCATTGTCGGCATTTCTCCATGAATGAAAGGTTTGTTAACCTGTGTGTGGATCAACAGATCCAATATAGTTACAAGTTGTGAGACATTTCATCTTAATTCTCAGGGGTTTCAACGCATCTATAGCATTTTTTTTTTCTTTATTTGTTACAATCCCTGAAATGCAGCAATCATTCCATTCAACTATTATTATGTACGAACAGCTATGCAGGTCTAGAGAGACCAGTATCACTGCGACCTAAAAGATCTATTGTGATCTTCCATTCAACTAACCATCAGATAGAAATGATACTGTTTTGTCATTTTAATGTCAAAAAATATTTGCTAATTAAGAACATTAAATAAAACAACACTTCTGTTAGCAAAAAGTAAAGTGCATTTGTAACGTTGAAGATTAACAAACTGAAATCAAACGCAGTTGTCCTCTCCCGTGCAATCGAGGAGGGTACACCGACCAACTAAATCTAAACCAATTATAAGCGTCGATAATCTGGACAATTCGTGTGTACTCGAATGGCAGGGAGACGAGTTTTGGAGCATACTTGTCTGCTTTCTATAGAATTCCGCTGTTATAAGTTTATAGAGTGTTCTGTATAACATACTGAATCTCATTAACGTATGGGTAAGAATATAAAATAGAAAAACATTTACAAACAAAAAATAAATCTGATATCCAATGGCTTACTACTAGATGCTGCAGAAAGTGAACTTTAAAGAAGAAATGAGATTTTCGTCCAGTCTTAAGACTTTACCAGCAAGTATGTTCTTAATTGTTAGTAAAATTAGTTAAATGGTGTTACATTATATTATAATATGTAGGAGTTTATATATATTATAAGTAAACAAAAAGCTTCAACTTTGACTTAGGAAATAGTTTAATGCTTTTTTTCTCTTGAATGTAGTCTTGTTTTTAAAAAAGGTGAAAATGAATCACTCTGTACTCTCTGTCCGTAGTTCGGACAAAGTTTAGATCAGTATAATGCCTACAACACATTTAATCCCATCCCATTGTGATCCACCCTCCCTGTTTCGAAATCTAGGGGAGAATGCATTTGTGTGCGATATCCCTGTATAAAACAGCATTCGAATTATAAAGAGCTAACACGCAAAATTAATATGTACCGCCCAAATATAGTTAACGGAATAATTTTCCCCGGGAAATTGTTTTGGGGTTCATCTAAGGTTTATGTAATAGAGTTGCATATTGCTCACAACAACACCATCTGTCGGAGACTAGGTTGATAATAATAATATTTTGGACCATTCTTCATTGCCCTATTGTTACCTTATTTGATACAGTTGAGTGTTCATTCACGTCAAATTGAGTTATGAATTTGGCTATTACCTATATCGTTTGACAATTAGTATGTGAAGAGGCATACTTGAGAATAATTTGAAACAGGAGATGGGCCGCAGTATCTTTCTAATAAAAACTCATACTTAATATTAAAACAATTGCGGTTGTCAACCCGCTTACTATATAATATCTCTCCTACGAGGCAATTTATGGGGGAGACTTATTTTCAGTAGACTTTTGATAGGCTGTATTAAGTGATTAAATAAAATAATGAATTAACGAGGAAAGGCTGTGTAAGTAAAAGACGCTAAAGTTAATGGTTAATGCAATATTTATTAATAAATTTCACTGTTATCTCCTCGATCTATATGCACTTACAATCGATTAATAATTTATTTTACACTTATGTTCAAATTAAATTACATAAAGTAGATATCTACGTCTTCCGTATTGCATGTCATTGCCATTGCAAAGAATCTATATAAATTATGCTGTTAAACCAGCATTTTTATAAATTAAACGTTATATTACACAGAATATACAAATGGAATGGCAACAAAAATTTATAACAAACTTTTTGTATGTGTGATAGAAGTTTTTGATGTCCAATGACCGGAATTTGAAAATATTTACAATGTTTTTGTTTTAATATTTCGAGTTTAGTTATTTAAACTCCAAATTAGCAAAATAGGTATCATTACTAAAAATAAACCTAATTAACTACCTTTTAATCACAGCAATATTGATCTCCTTAGTTTTTTATAAGAAATAAATAACATAAATTAATTCGTATCGAAAAAATGTGCCATAATAAAATTGCAATTACAAAGTACAACATCCATTAATACAATATTATTATACAAGAATACAAACATGCTTAGTTCGTATGACAATTTGTTGGCACTCGCAGGGGTGACCAACAAATTGTCGTAACGAAGCTTATTGCCACGTTTTCCTCTGTAGCATTAATATTTCTCACCCCTATTGCATAGATCAAAGAAATAAAAAGGGTTGTGCTCGCTAAGGGCGTATAACACTCAATTATTACAAACGTTGGCACAAACGATTTACATTTATTTTCTCCCTGGAGACGTAGTCTAACGTCGCTATGGAAACTTTCTCTACTCAACAATAGATGGCGCTTACCTATATTTACATTATTTTGTTATCGCAGCTTATTCAACCATACACAAGGAAATACGTAGCTATACTATATAATAATATATACATTATTGTATTGTGATAAAAGAAGTAGTATGAACATATTATGTACTGTGTCTGTAAGCAACATGTTTCCTTGTACTTGATTATAATAATATGACACTTACCACTAGGTTTGAACATCATCAGTTGCCTCTTACATTTAGCTGGTATTTGTAGATTTAAAACCTTATAATACAAATTATAATAACTTGCACCATATAACATTGAGAAAAGAAATCACTCGGTTGATATTGCGGAAACGTAAAAAACTAACTATAATCTCAAACACTTACGACACGGAGTTTTGTTCTTGTTGCATATCTCCCGCCAAAACTGTGGCGTCATGGCCGGCTGTCATATTGAGAGCGGCGTTCATAGTCAAATGAGAGTCTGCATAGTTGTGCGCTATCTCACCGCTAGATGGGGACTCCGGTACGTTGGTCGGGTTCTCGGGCATCGAAAGTAGTCGATGCGGGAACCCGAATAGCTGAGATCACTGAAGCCGCCCCCAATAATTTGATGCGAGGTCTGGTCCTTGCGAGGGTATTTGAACGGGCACACTTACGCCCGCTGATATAACACCTACGATACAAAATAAAAATAATTAGGTATATTATGAAATAGTACGAGTACACCTACATACACATCTACTTCTACTACTACTACTACGTCCAACAATATTTAGGTAGGATATATACAAAAAACAGGTTTATATAAATATTCAATACTGTTGGATGTAGTTCCTAGGTATTTGTTGCTTATTTTTTATTTAATGTATATAATTGAGCCACCACTTCTTATCATAAGGGTTTCCGAAATTCATGTTCAGGTGATGGGGTAGGTAGATGAGGTACTTGGCTTTCAAGGACTGCTTATTAAAGTCCAATTTTAAATAAAAATATTTGACATTAAATAAAATTAATAGTTTTTACCAATCTCTTATAAGGGACTCTGAGAGACGTTAATCAATTTCACAGGTAGGCAGACATACGCTAACACATCTAATGTGAAACCTAGTAACGTCATGTATCAATATCAGCTCAGCTCAGCCATATGTCTAATAGGATTACAATTGCGTTCCGTTTATTACACACAATCGCGTTATCTGGGCACGGTATGTCCGCTCAGTTCGATTATGTCCCGCCGCAGTCATAAAGCCATCAACACGTCTATGAATGCGATTTAGATATTATATAGTAAGTGGAGCGCATTACTATATCCCTGAAGAGTCGGGCTGTGGGATGGGATGGCATATCGTCTACCATATTAAAGCAACATAAAAATATCCTTATTCCATACATTACACGCATTTTTAACTTATGTTTATCGCATGGCATCTTTCCTGATGTGTTTAAAAAATCCTTCATACTTCCTATCCTTAAGAATGGGGATAGAGATCATATCACGAACTACCGTCCAGTATCTAAATTACTGGCAATGTCTAAAATAATTGAACGGATAATAAATACTAGACTCAGGGACTACTTTGAAAGTAATAATCTTTTATCTCAACAACAATGTGGATTCCGTAAAAATAAATGTACTAATTACGCAGTACTAGATCTAACTAATTACCTACGAAGTGTGAAACCTAGATACCGGTAGAAAATGTATTGGTGTATTTCTTGACTTAGCTAAAGCATTTGACACGATCAATGTCCCCATACTTCTAAATAAGCTAGAAGCTTTGGGTGTTAAGGATAAACAGTTGGACCTCTTACAAAGTTACCTCCACAACAGAACCCAATGCGTTAAGATTAGCGGCTATACAAGTTGTCAACTTCCTATTAAATTTGGTGTACCGCAGGGTCGTATAGTCGGTCCAACCCTATTCTTGGCTTAGATAAATGGGCTATGCAATCTGAAACTAGATCATGGTAAAATCATCTGTTTTGCCGATGATATATTTCTCCTTTTCTCGGGTGACAATTGGGAGGAGGTTTTTAGATATACCCGAATTGGACTTAATATCGTCACTCGGTGGCTATCTTGTAACCTTTTGACGATTACCACAGACAAAACAATGTACGTAATGTACATTGTTTGGTCTGTGGTAATCCGTAACCGCTGTAAAATATTTAACTGTTGTCTCTGTTAGTCTGAGCGAGATTAGGATGGCTCTCCAGCACCTTAAAAACGGTAAGGCCCCAGACGAGGATGGAATTACAGCGGAGCTTCTGAAAGCGGGTGGAAGACCGGTACTTGAAGTCCTTCAGAAGCTCTTTAATTCCGCCCTGCATGGTGGCATTACACCGGAGGCGTGGAGCAGAAGTGCGGTGGTCTTGTTCTTCAAGAAAGGTGACAACGCTCTCTTGAAGAACTACAGACCGATTTCCCTTCAGAGCCGCGTCTACGTGCTGTTTTCGAGAGTCATTACGAATCGTCTCGCGCGCAGACTTGACGACTTCCAGCCTCCCGAACAAGCCGGTTTCCGAAAGGGCTTTAGCACCATAGACCACATACATACCCTTCGGCAAGTTGTACAGAAGTCCGAAGAGTACAATTTGCCACTATGTCTGGCGTATGTGGACTATGAGAAAGCCTTTGATTCCGTCGAAATTTGGGCGGTGCTGCAGTCCCTTCAGCGGTGCCAAGTTGACTGTCGGTATATCGAAGTGTTGAAGTGCTTGTACAGTAGGGCTACGATGGCTATCCGAGTACAGAACCAGAGTACGAAACCTATCCAATTGCAGAGAGGTGTAAGACAGGGTGACGTCATATCCCCGAAACTCTTCACCGCTGCATTGGAAGACGTTTTCAAGCTTCTGGACTGGAAAGGGTACGGTATCAACATCAATGGCGAGTACATCACTCACCTTCGATTTGCCGACGATATAGTCCTTATGGCAGAATCGCTGGAGGGCCTAAGCACTATGCTCAATGACCTCAATAGTGTTTCCCAACGGATAGGTCTTAAGATGAACATGGACAAAACAAAGATTATGTTTAATGTCCATGTCACACCTATGCCGGTAGTTGTTGGGAGCACTAAGCTCGAAGTTGTTGACGAGTATGTTTACCTGGGACAAATAGTCCGACTAGGTAAGTCCAACTTCGACCGAGAGGTCAATCGACGGATTCAACTCGACTGGGCAGCGTTCGGGAAGCTACGACACATCTTCTCGTCAGACATACCTCAAAACCTTAAAACGAAATTGTACAACCAGTGCGTGTTGCCAGTGATGACTTACGGAACTGAGACGTGGTCCTTCACTGCTGGCCGGATGAGGAAGCTCAAGGTCGCTCAGCGAGCTATGGAGAGGGCTATGCTCGGAGTTTCTCTGCGTGATAAACTTAGGAATGAGGATATCCGCAGTAGAACCAAAATAACCGACATAGCCCAACGGATTAGTAAGCTGAAGTGGCAGTGGGCCGGCCATATAGCTCGAAGAACCGACAACCGATGGGGAAGAAAGGTTCTCGAGTGGCAGCCTCGTACCGGTAGGCGAAGTGTAGGGCGTCCCCCCACGAGATGGAGTGACGACCTGGTAAGACATGCAGGAAGTCGATGGATGCAGGTGGCTCAGGACCGTGTTTTGTGGCATTCTTTGGGGGAGGTTGTTCAGCAGTGGACTTGTGAAGGGCTGTAATGATGATGATGATGATGATGATGTTGTCTCTGTTTGCTATTTAGTGCGACATTCCCTTTTTTCTCTTTCTTACTATTTTTGCTCTTTTTTTTACTAGAATGTAAGTGAATCTCGTTGTATTGTTTAATTGCGAAGGAAATCATTTATTGTAGCTTCATCTATTTTATCCACGGATAACTTCAGGTGGGGACCTGGTGACCTAAGATACAGGTTTTACCTAGTTTAGGCTCGACTTTTTCACCTAAAAATAGTATTGTTTCAGGTATAAGCACATTTTTTTTGTTGTGTTTTGAATGTATATTGTTGGTGGAAATTAATAAATAAAATAAATATATATAAACATAACTACGTTGAACAGAGTGGATGATACCTGACGTACATGAACTTTTCAATCTGTGATTTTAACAAAAGTTAAATATGAAAATGACAAATAAAGTTGCGTCTGGACACCCTCTTTATTACAAGTCTTGTCTAGTCTGCGTGTTTATTACAAATGTACTTGGATTTCTATAATTTAAAATAAGGACGATTAGACTACGTATGTAATAATTCACTCAATCACTATCTTTCAAGCTGAAAACACACGATGAAGATTGAAGAGTTGAGCAGATAAAAGTAATTAAAAAAGGTAATCTTTAAACATTACATTATTTTCTTTTCCAATTTGTTTTTATCAAGGAAATATTTTTAAGTTCAGCTTTTTTATAGGTTAGTCAAAGTACGCAATTTTTATTCATGTAAGATATAACATAGGTACATATTTCATCATAAATCGTGTCTAAAGTTTCGTTAGAGAAGCTACATAATTTCTCGATCGCATTGCACGCTCCGATCGCCGCGTGCAAAATGGCGATAACAGTTTTCCGTTCCGCACCGCGACGAAGGGGTAGCGTTTATATTCATTACACGTTATTATCGGCTCTAAACAGCGCTCCTGCGAGACTCGTTTACTCAATGGTTTGTGTCTGACCGCCTGCTTGTTTACGGCCCCTACAAAGTTGTCAGCGATAAAATTGTTACTATTATATCGGATGTTTTATCTAAGAAAAATTGAAAGAAGAAAACGTGGATTTTGAAAATCATAGATCATATGATCTATTATTGACTGGTGAATTAAATTAAAGTGAGAGAAGGATGTAGAAAAAACGTTAAAATGTACTTTTACTGGTAACATGATTAATGACTTTTAAAATAATAACTGTGCTAAAAAATATGCAACAATATAGCACAAAAATCAAAAAGTAGAACAAGCCTGTATTATTTAATATCGTGCGAAACTGAAAATGCACTCGTCGAAAGAACGCAAAAGAGTAAATGAAACGAGAGCGTGCGTTTTGAATTGCGAAAAACTCTTTTGTTCCCGGCTGCTGCTGGAAACTCTGCAGTCGAACAATGCGAGGAACGCCTCAAACAATAATAATTCATACCGCTTTCCGCCACCTACGGCTAAAAATGTCCGCCGCGTGATATATAATATCAAATGGAACAGATACGACTTTCTAAAACAATGGAAACGCCATCTCTCTACGGTTTGCTCTTTTTCTAAATGCTAATAAATCTGAAATATCTATGTTTAGACGATTCGGTTAAGTTAGATAGCTACCATGTCGTACATTGAAAAATTGTTACCCACTTGCATTTGGGTGTGTGCCAATGGAAATTAAAAAACACCGATTTTACTTTTTGTTAACGAAAGCATCCGATATTCAAAATCAATTTAAAAGCCATTTGTAAGGAACAGACAACGGCAAATCCAATCGGGATGCGAGCGTCTATTTTTCCCTCTTTTTCCCCTTTTATTTTTTGTTTTCTCGTCATGTCGCGGTCTTGTGAGCCAGACGCCCCTTGCTCTTGAGTCAGCGTTTTTTACATTTTATCACGAAGTTGGTAAATATTTTCCGAAGTCTGATTTCTTAAATTTTATTGTATTTACTTACACTTTTGACTTTTTACGTATAGAAATAGAATTCATATGTTTATACGCTATGTGAACAAATGATAATTATAATTTAAAAATTTCAATAAAAAAAGTATCTATGATATTAATTTTACAAGGATATTTTTATTTTTTTACTTATTTGTTTCGGTGCTAATATTTGAACTTGGAAACCTACATTACATAATATTTATTATTTGCTTTACAAAAAGGCTGAGAGAGAGAGAGAGAGAGACAGTGAGAGAGAGATTTTCCCGATCAAATCATTTTAAAGTTAGCTTAGTACCATAGACCATACTATACCATAGATATACCCTTCAGCTAATTATACAAAAGACCGAAGAGTACAATCTGGCATTTTGACTTGGGTATGAAGGCTATGAGAAAGCGTTAGATTCCGTCGAAAGTCGGGCGGTACTACAGTACTCTTCAGCGTAGGGCAATGGTGGCTATTTGAGTACAAGACCAGAGCAAAAAACCTATCCAACTACAGAGAGGTCTAAGACAGGGTGCCGTTATATCTGAAAAATTAGAAATTGTCCGACTAGGTAAGTCCAACTTTGACCAAGAGGTTAATTGACGAATCCAACTGGGCTGGGCAGTATATGGGTCTGAGACATGCTTCTTCGTTAGTGGCCGTATGAGAAAGCTAAGGTAGCTTAGCAAACTATATTAACAGCTATCCTCGAAGTTTCACTGGGTGATATAATTTGTAAAGTGGATGTTATCTCTAGTAAAATCAGAATAACCAACATAGCCCAACGGAACAGTAAGTTGAAGTGGAAATGGGCCGGCTATATAGTGCGACGAACTGAAAACCGATAGATAAGAAGCGTTCTGGAGTGGCAGCCTGGCACCGATAAGCAGCATTTAGGATGACCCTCCACTAGATGACATGCAGGAAGTCCATGAATATATGTGGCTCAGAACCGTGTTTTGTGGCATAACTTGGATTTGACCTATGTTCAGCAGTGGTCTTGTGAAGGGCGGTAATGATGAATAAGTGTTTCTACTTAGATAGCTAAAACTTTACAAAACTTAAATTCAAATTTCTTTTACTCAATTAATAAAAATTGAATATATTGCCCAGGACTTTTATACTTGGTAGAGCCATGCTGCAGCTGTATTAGTAGTATAATTGTAGCACGAATTGTTCGGTTCTGCCGGGGAGGGACCACGCTCTCACAGAACACCAGCGTAAAATGGCAGGTAGACACTGCTGTGTTTCGTATGGGGAGTGTAGAGAACCGGAGACCCATTTTACTGGAAAAGAGGTATTCTATCTTAGTCCTCACGGGTGACGACGCATCTGCATTTTGATTCTTTATTGAGGATAAATGTAAATGTCTATGGGTCACAGCAACCACTTACCATCAGGTGGACTGTGTGCTCGTTTGTTACCCCATCCCATAAAAAAGAGGATCTCTGATCACTACAATCGTGTACTATAGAGAAGCGTGGTTAAGTCTTACCGTTTCATTAGTCTTTCTTTGTACAGTGGCTAAGCGTTTACATATATGTCTGTAGTACATGATGTGTGATAATGTTCCGTATTTGGCTCATATGCAAAAAGGAATTCCTAGTGCAAGGGTACAATTAGTGTGTTGTTAGGTAGTCTACTCTTGGGTGCTAGCGGCAGCCTGCATGCTGCTACACGACCACTCGTCACAACTTGTACATTTTCATGCATGTGTGTTAGTGTTTCGTACAGAAATGTGTACTGCGTACTCACCGGTGCTGGCGGCAGCCTGTGGCTGTGAGTAGCCGCCGTGCTGCTGGTGCGCGGCGGGCGCGCGCGTGTATCCACCACTCAACACATCGCCAAACATGTACGGGTAACCGCCATCGCGCTGCTGCAGGCACGACGACGACAATCCTCCCGACATTGAACTGTCGGAACCAAGCGCACTGTCAATATCACGCGTGAAATTGCGCGTTAGAGTTAGAGACGATCACTGTTATTTTTTTTATTTGAAACAATTAAAATAATCAATAGTAAGGCGGAAGTCGATATTAAGTATAACGTCGAAAAACAAAGTAATTGTATAAATCCGTGTGGAAATAATTCTTGACTTATCTAATGTTATGAATTTGTATTGTATTATTTTAGTAAAGATCGGATTTTAGCAAACTCTTTTTGTTTCTGGCGATGCATGTCTCATTCAATAAATACAATAGGTGTACCTATTGTATTTATTGAATGAGACATGTACAAAGTTATAATTATACAAAAATATCATATTCAGTGATTAGTCGATTAGGGAAACACACTATTAAATTGTTTTAATAATTGTACCGTATAGGTATTAATCGTATTTAAAACTAAACTATCATTAAAATGTTTGATATCATAATTTTTTGATTGATTGATATTATAATATTTAGCGACTAAAAGAAACTCGTTACATAACTATAACTGTACCGTGCTGCATGTAAAACTAAAGTGTCAATAAAAAGTTGTTTAAAAAGGTGTTATAAATTTATCCGTTGAATGAACTAAAGGAAAACTTCTCGTCTGAGTAAGTTAATTTAGACGACAAAAGCTAAAGTCCGTAGTTAACTATTAAAAATCAATCCATGTGGAAAGTCGGCGGACCTTTGGCTCCGTAGTTCGGAACGTCTCGGTGCAATGGCGGGAAACGCAAGAAGGCGCGATCTTTGATGCTCGATTTCCCGCGCTATTTAATTAAAGTCGCCACTCGATGATAGATGGCGTTACCTACTTTTTTATAAATGGTTTGTATGGAAAAGCATTCTAAATATATATTGTATAATAATAAATTATGTTTATACTTGTTTGTTTTTAAATTCATAGTAGTATGTTAGCTTGCTTAATAAAACGAAAATTTAGGTTTTATTGCTTGGCACCAGGCCTCCTCTCATTTTTGAGAGGGTTTTGAAGCGGTTAGTCCGCTGCACCGCACTGATCCAGTACGTGTTATACAATAATTATTTGTCGTTTTGTTACAGGTGTTTTTGAGTGATTTGTACACAAACTCGTCAATGACGAGCAATACGCTGAAGAATCCAATTCTAAAATTTCTATCCCTGGCAAAAAAAGGTAAAGAAAAACCGGGAACCAAGAAAATGATAATTTTGACATTGGTGTTAAAAGAAGAAAAATTCACGAATTTTATTCAGTGAGAAAAGAAATTCCTACCATACCCAAATTACTAAGTATTTTAAAGACAGGTATTGATTTCAAAGCAGAACGTGAAACTTTTCGAAAATTGTTTCACAAAATAGAATTTCGTTATATAAGAAAACGAAATCAAATATAAAAGTGTTGTGTGAACGTAACCCCGTAGTTGCATGAAGGGCAACCTACCTACAAAATATTTAAAAAAATGAGTGTGGTGTAAAAAACCTACTATTTATTTAGATGAAACTAGGAAATGTTGGCTAGGTCCTGAAGACGATGGCGATTTGCAACCTGTTTCGAAAGGTAATAATAGGTGGATCATAATCCATGTGGGTTGAGAAAAAGGTTTTGTGGAGAATGCCCTTCTCGTATTTAAATCGAATACAAAACGTGGCACTAGCATAATGAAATGAATAGGACTAATTTCAAATAAGGGGTTTATGAAAAACTACTACCTAATCTGCATGAACCATCGCTCATTGTGATGGATAATGCGCCATGCCATAGTATTTGCGTAAATAGGTGTCCTAACTCAAACCACAGTAAGACTGATAAGCAAAAGTGGCTATTAGAAAACAATGTGGATTTGAATGAACAAATGACAAAACCTCAGCTTTATAAGTTAATAAAGAGCAATAAACCTGTTCCGAAAAATGAAATTGATAACCTGATGAAAAGTCATGGCCATAATATTCTTAGATTGCCACCTTATCATTGCGACTTGAACGCAATTGAAATTATATGGAGTTTTATGAAAAGGAACGTGGCAGGCAAAAATTTTAGAAAATCTAATGTTCAAATGCCCCAATTAATTGAAGATGCATTCCATAAAATTGCACCGGCGGAGTGGAAAACATTTGTAATCATGTGAAAATAATTGAAAATGAATACAGACAAAAATACACGTATTTAGATGAACCCTTTATTATAGAGTTACAGAGCGATAGTAAAAGCGATTCCAGTGACTCAGAAGATGAATTGTTGGAACCAGTATCTTTCAAAACAGGAAATCCTGAAGTTCGGCCGTTTAAACTCCGAGAGCACGACCACAATTATTTTTATAAAATATAAATAATATAATATATAATAACACAAATTTTCACTAATTTTAATATATTAACTCGAAATTTATTTTATTTTATATTATATGTAATCAATATGTTGTCACCTATTGCCTCAGTAAATTTCTTAAATGGCAATACAATAGTAAGTAGCACTCCACTAGCGACTCTGTCAACTGAACAGATAAGTTGGTGGTTCTTATATACAAGCAAGGTGATCCAAACTATATCTATAACTATTGTCCAATAAGTTACTCGAAAGTTATTTCTAATTTGTTTTGTGTGGTTAAATGTGATAACATGATTGTAAGCTGTTATTAAAAAAAAAGTCGCGCTGGATTTCTTGCTAGTTGTAACAAAAGTGTGAAAAAAGTTTCTGTTTCTATTTCAAATAATATATAAGTTCTTTGCAATGTGCTTTGACATGAGGGTTGAACTGGACATAGGAAAAAACTATTACCGATCACATCCACACCTTAGAGTAAATAATAGAGACGCACCAAGAATTTAAACAAACAATCTAAAACTACCTTTCTAACATTCGTTGTCAATATCAACGCTTTCGACTTAATATCACACGAAAGCATATGGCAAGCCTTATACTGTCAAACATTACAGAAATTTGTTGAAATATTTTGAAACATATTTAAAGCAACAGTGAAAGCTTGGATATAACAGGTTCAAAAATCAAAATATGTAGAGGTGTTAAGCAGGGGATCTTCTACCATCAAAGATTTTCATATCCGTTTTGCAAAATATAATGAAAGACCTGAATCGGGTACAAAAATAAATCTGCATCAATGAACATTTTTTTAAGTACCTAATCTCAAGTTCACTGACGACATTGTGCTCTTCTCCAAAACAGCCAGTTAGTTACAAAGAATGATAAAAAAGCACCTCAAAAATGAAAGTGATTAGAAACAGCACTTAGAAGCTTGTAATAATAAATGGAGCTTCGCTAGAATATATGGAGATTTACTTATATCAAGGCAAACAAATCTCTTCTAGAAAATCTAGACACAGAAAAGGTTGAAAGGAGAATGAACATGATATGGAAAAAATTCTGGTGTCTAAAAAAATAGTAAAATCAAGCTACCTCTAAATCTAAAGAAAAAAGTAATGGACTCATGTTTATGTCAATCCTGCCTATCTCTTGGTTCTTAAACCTGGACATTTATCAAAAAGACAAGAAACATAATACGTTTGTAGTCAAAGAGCAATGGAAAGAAGCATCTTAAACATTCAGCTGAAAACAGGCAACGAAATGAGAACATTCGTAAGAAAACAAATGTTGTGGTAGCCCTTGAGCATATCCAGCGCTTGAAATGGAAATGGACAGGTCATGTTGCACGTGTACCGGATAAAAAGTGCCCTCAAATAGTAACGATATGGTCAGGATCAACCGGAATAACAACGAGAGCTAGCCCAGTTGAACGTTGGGCCGATGAAATCTAAAACAGTGCGATGCGAGCCAAAATTGGCTAAACAAAGCTAAAATCCGAAAATTTTTTCAGATTGTATGTAGTCTAAAAGAAAGGCTTATTATTATTATTATTATTATTCACGATAAAATAAAAAAAACATGATTTCCATCTTTTTTCATGTCCACAGACAATTATCATTTATGCTCAATCAGAGATTGTTTGTATAGTTTTCGAATAGATAAAGGCCGATACGCTTCACGAAATGATAAGTAAGTAACATTTAACTAAATGAAAGGCTGCTATACTTTCCGAGCTAATGTGTAAATTAATGTGTTTATTATAAGAAGCTCTGGCTTCACTTCTGCGCACCACCTATAGATTAACTCACCTGTATGTGTCGCTCATGGTGGCTATGGGCTGCGGTATGGGACTGTACATGGAGTTGAAGCCGCCGTTGAGGGGAAGGCGCGGTGCTGGCGGGGCGGGGGGCGAAGCCGCTGGCGCCTCCCGACGCTGACTTCGAAGCTTCTCCTCGCGTCGCCATTTCGCGCGGCGGTTTGAGAACCACACCTGATGGTAAAGGTTCATTAGTTGTTTTTTTCTAAATGGATATAGAAAAAGTCGGTTGGTGTTTTGTTTATATTGCAAAATATATAAAATTGTAATATATATGCTTTTTACAAAACTTGTTTTCATTGTAGTATATAGAATAAAATTAGAACTAAATGAAAAATATTAGGTTCTATATTTATGACTAATTCTTCAATATTACTCTGATGATTTCAGCAGATATTATAATTTTGCCTTATTTTAAATGAATTTAATTTACTCTATCGTATCTTTAGGAGAATTTGTTTCATAAAAAAAAAAAATGGTTGGTATTTTATGATTTTAACGGCTCCGTGACGCAGTGGCTTAGAAATGCCTTGTCGCGCTAGGGGCTGTGGGTTCGAATTCCGCACGGAACAAGTATTTGTAGTATTTGTATATATATATATATATATATATGGATGTTTGTACTTGTGCAATTTACATTTGTAAACTACCTCCACGATATAGGAGAAAATACCAGTGGTGGTATTGTTTTTTAAAAAAAGTCAGCACCTACCTAGGCGACCAAGCGAGCATTGCTTGGCGTTAAAACTTTTTTGAGGTATGGATGATCCTCATCTTCTACCTACTACTACCACCTATCTACTAAACTCTCTGCGACTACCGTCTAAACCTATGGTGCCATTTTGAGACACCAGATAAGTAGATAATATGTAACCTGTTTTTGCATATACAAGAATTGATCATATAAAGTGTATGAATTATAATACTTAACTTCATCTCACGTCAAGATTTTTTAAATGTTTTAAACTTATAAACTTCCTTACAAAGTAATAATAACTATAACTTTGTTCCTCGTGAAGTATTAGTTGTGTCCGCGTCAAAATTATTTACTTAAACCTAGCCTTAAATTATGAAAAAGATGCTACATTTGAATATCACTTCAAATCCCAGCTTTGGATTGGTAAACTGGTAACAACAATAAAAATTGCCATTTTAAATTATACTTAGTGCTACGCCCATAGCATGAAAAATGTCAATTGAAAATACGGTTTATTTAAAGATACTCAGGGCATTACAGTTGATATGATATTAATTTAAAATAACTCTTAGTCTTACTTGTACTACTAGTAGGGTGCTAAAATAACGCCTTGAGTCGTAGTTTTAATAATATGTACAATCCTTTAACGCTTAACTGCAGGTTATTCAAAGCCGAAGTACTCAAAACGTCGGGAATATAGGTTAATAAAACGCAAAAAAATCAATCTATAAAAATTAGTTTCATTCAATATTCAAAGCTCTTAACAAACTTAACTATCTAAAGGAACCTAACTTAAGACTGATTTTCAACCTGGTAATTATGCACATAACATAAAATAACTTTAAAATAAACATCAAGGCGCATATGATTTCATCTGATTTCATAGCAAAGGCTATTAAATTGAAATTTTGATAAAATAATAAGCTCAAGCAAAGTGTTTCTAAATTCTAAATAGTGGTAGGTTTGAAACTTTATAAATTAAAATAGTGTGCAAAAATGATATGTTTCTCGTTGCGAAATTATTAAAGTTTCAATTAATCCAACCATGTATATTATATTGTGACATTGAAGCGTGCGAAACGGAACGCTGCTCCGGAAGTAGCCCTCACGTGCGCGTCACTTCCGCCACCGACAGTCATGGCAACGTGATCGTGACGGCAATATGGCGCCTCTCCGCTCTTTGCCGAAGACAGTTTGTTTCAAGCAAATAGATAATAGTGATGTTCGCAGATCAGATCATTATATTTGTCAATGGAATTTCATTTATTATAAATACGTTTTTTATAGATTACGTCGTTACTATTATACTATTATAACTTTCGATATTGGCAAGTACAAACGGAAGTCAAAATTCTGTTACCAAACCTTAAATACCAATGTGTATAAAAATACAAATTTAAATGTTGCGTGGCAAAATCCAAGAAGTAGAACGTAATATTTGACTTAAATTACCTACCGAGAAGAAAATAGGGAAACCCGAAAACCAGGCGCGCTCAAAGAGGTCGCACAGAAGGCAATATGTCATAATATTATTGCTACAGCCTCCGACGAAATCGCCGGAATGTTGCCGACAATATTTTATTCGAACCCTCGCAAAAACCTTACCGACACAAAAAAAATATTATAAGGAAAGGACTACTAGAGCCAAGTACACACAATAAGAAAAGTGAAAGTGTTTTCATTTAAATACTAATCAAAAAATATGGAAATATCAATTTTACATATAATTAGTTTGAATTAAGGGAGAATAGTTATTGCTAATTTTTAAAATGAAGAAAATGAAAAGAGTATGTACAATAAATAAGACAAATTTTTATTCGTTTTGGCGAAAACGATGACGCCGCATAAACAAATCACAAGAGACACTAGGCCTTAAAATGCAATTTGTAAATAATTATAAATAGTGTGCAGTACTTTAATTTGTATTTTTATTCCTAACACTTTTTTGTAGATTTAAAGTATGACAAATTGTGATTTCGGTCTTATTGTGCTCATATGTAATGGTCCTTATGTCACAGTAAAATATTATGACATCTACGTTTTTCCTTTCTATCCATAGATATTTCTTCGTGACAGCGATGACAGGCCTTTTTCCCGCCTCCACGTCATTTCCCGTTGGCCTTTTATAAATTGTACCGCTACCCTTATAGTTGACGAAATATTATTACAGTGGGGTTCCTTAGCAAATGAGATTAACCATAATTTTGTTATTACGCCAACAAGTTGCCGCAAACATAACAAGTGTCACTGTGCTTTATGTTTTGGTTTCTGTCTTTATATTATTTTATTTTATATTCATTCATTTTATAAGATATTGCAAAAAAAGTTAAGTTTCAACTTATATATGTCCCATCTCTGAGAGGGTATTGAAACTGCTTACTTATTATTTTTATTTAAAATACTAATCATAACCATGAATATTTCAAATCCGTAGTTGAACCATATTATAGTCCATTATCTTATAAGGAAAGGCTCGACCGGGGAAGGACCACCCTCTCACAGATTACCATCGTAAAATCAGCTTAATGTTTCATTTGGTGAGTGTAGAGAACCAGAGACCCTTTTTACTGAAAAAGAGGCATTCCATCTTAGTCCTCATGGTTGTCAAGGGGTCTGCATTTTGATTCACAAACGAGGATAGATAGAGTCTATGGGCCACATCAACCACTTACCATCAGATGGACTATGTGCTCGATTGTCAACCTTATTCTATAAAAAAATGTATAATCAATTTTAATGTTTAATACTTCATTACACATTACACGATCTTCATTTTTTTAAAGACACATGAATCAACAAAAATTAATTAAAATTACTAAAACTGAGATACGATTGATGTAATATGTATTTGGCTCAGTATTCTCTCGTAAGTAATTTACTTTATTGTGATAAATTGCAATAAAATGTCTTTGAAAAACTCTATAAACAAACCTATTTACTATCTGTCAACCAGGATATAAAAAAATACTACATAAATCAGAACGTAGCTAAAACACCGCGAAATCTTTTCATTTATTCAAATGCGAACACTGAGTACATTTTTAACATCCTTATGTAAAGTAGAATAGATTTCAAATTCGCAAAGATTGTAAGTAAAAACTTGTTGTGCGTTGGGTGCCAATTTTTCAGAACACACCCCACCCGACAGGAAATTCGCCCCCGCTTACTATAGGCTCGGGGATCGATACCCGGTCCCTAAGCTTACAGAGACCATATTTTTTTACGAGAACTCGGGATAATTTCTATTTAGCATTTTTAATAAAAAAACTTCTATTTTAGATGTTGACTGCACAACAATAACTGAACGATATTAAACAAAGGACAACGACAAATAGTTAAACTTTTATGAGTTGCTTGTAGTTATATGTACAGAAAGATACTTAAGAGCTTGGAAAATTGATTGTAAGCAAGAAATAAAGGATAGTAAAAACAAAGTAAAAGTTCTCGGGATGTTTAATCAAGATATAACAGTTTGTAAAGGAAAGACATTTTATTAGTCGTCTCCGTTTATTTGTCTTAATAAAATATTTTAATAGGAAAATGAAATACGGTACGTAAATATTGAAGACAAAATGTGATTTATTGATGGCGAATACGATAAAATTATAAGTTCTATTGTAATTAAATGAATTCATACTAACGAGTCATAAATTTATTATGACGTATTATAGAAATTTTTAAGTTACTTATAATTCAAACATCATTTTTTTGCAAGATAAATCGAAGTAGTTTATCTATTTAGCATAATATAACATGTGTAATACTACCCAAATAACTGTGTAGGACGGTGTAAGAATATCCATTCTTCAGTCCCGTGAAAGTCGTAAAAAGCGATAGAGGGAAACTAACCAGGAGATGGACAGCAGAATCTTCCAATTACAAGTCGAAAATCAAAAACTGCAGTTGCCAATCTGTTTGCCAAGCGTGGCCATTGTGGGAAAAATGTCCTAATTATGTGGCAATTTATGGGGAGATCTATGTACATCAATGGACTTGGATAGGCTTTGAATAAATGAAAATACAACCGAATAATTCTATAGATGTCTGGTTAAATAGAGCCACCGTTATAAATTTGGAAAATATAAATAAAATTTCATGGAGTGCCTATTCTTCATTCCGACACAGCCTTGAACCCCAAGCCTGGGGCAACACGTGGCGTCGGTCGCTCGAATACGAAACGATTTGAAACCCTCCTTGAAAGCCTCGCTACATTATACGCAAATAAACAAAACTCAACTTTACACATTAGATTTAAAGTCTAATGTAGCTTGAGGATTATTACAATTTTCATTAAGGGCTGTCAAAATCGATTATAAAAAGATTATTATAAAATAATTTACGTTTATGAATCAAATTTAAATTTAGTATCGTAATCCTAATTTATTTATATACGTGGTACAATCATATATAAATTCAAACAATGAATATTTTTTGTTAAAAGTCTTAACTTTTTTATTTTTCGTTTTTAGAACACAACAGTAATACGTTTTGAAAT